GTATCTGCAGACCAGCTTTTAGACATACAAGAGTTATTGACGTCTGATATTCTGAGTTTGCTTTTACTAGAGAGGGAAAATGTAGTGGTGTAGTGCACTTTATAGACAGGGGTTCAAAGCGTTTAAAACTGGGGTACCTAAGTTTCAAACCTCAACAATGGTTCAATCTAGAGAGACTTGACAAAACGTGGGTACAATTATTATTGTATATTGATTGGGAGGAATCTGACACTACAGCAATTACACATATGTTTCTGAGGACATTTATTTTTATTTTATTTATTTTATTTATACTTTATTAAGGACTCACATGCAAGCACAGGATCCATAGCTAAGAATAATGAAAGAAAAGTTTAAAAAAAAAACAGAACAGAGTTAAAACACACATAGTAATCACATATTCACATATTTAGACCAAGTCACACATACAGAGAAGCACGCCAGTGACTCCAGAGCAAAGAAGTGAACCTGACTGAGCTAATGTAAGGACAAACCAGTGACTGTACAATAGCATTAGGCACCCTCACCACTCTACACATGAACCGATAGTAGCAGTGACGTAGGGCAGCAGGAAAGGAGCGCACCCTGAACTCAGCAAACATCTGACTCGCACTACTGTGTCTGGGGATCTTCAACAGCATCCTCATCGAGTCATTATAGGCAACAGTTAACTTCTGCAAACTGGCCTGCTTATAGCTCCGCCATAGTTGGGCTGTGTATAAGGGAGCACAAAAAGATTGGAACAGGGAGGTTTTAACATTCACAGAGCACATGTTAAACTTTCTGACCAGCATGTTGGATTGGCCATACAGTTTACATCTCTGTCTGTGCATATCCCGGTCGTCTGTGAGGTCACTGCATATGTAATGGCCAATTACATTATTTTCAAGATTACATTTATTGTGCTGTACAGAAATGTAGTTAGGATTTTCCGCTTAGACCCCGACAGAGAACAGCACGATTGCAGAAGGGGAAAGAGATTATGAGATGAAATCCCTCGGGGCCTAGAACCCTGGTGGTGGTAGTTTAGGAGAAGGGTGAAAGAGCTGGACTGGAACGAGGCGGAGACGGGGAGGAGGAGGGTTGTTGTGTGAATGAAGCTGCTGCTTGGATGAAGCTTCTGCATGATATGAAGCTGATGTGGGCAGTGCCTGATTGCTGCCAGGAGAGGGCAGTGTAGCGCTGCAGCTTAGTGTGATTGACAGATGCTGTTGCCATGAGCAGCAGTAGGAGAACTTTGAGCGCTGTGATCTTAGTTCTTCCAATCTTTCATTCTGAACCTCCGCTTTAGCTTCATAACTCAGTAAATACAGTGTCATGTGTTCCTGGTTCTCACATAGTTTTATTCTATCACTAGTTTTCACATGTATATATTTCTCTGCATGGAACCAGCATGTGCCAAAAAAGAACAATTTACTCATCTCCAAAACACATGGTATCGATACATGATGAATGTGAGGAGATCAGATTAAGAATTCTTTCTATTTCCATTTAAGAAACAGGAAGTCACAAACCAGGAAATGGCTTTGGCTCTCGGTGCAAACATATAAAACAGTAAAATAGAAAAAAACAACATAAAACTTCTTAAAATTACTACTATACATCATTATAGATCATTGTCAGGCCTGATGTAACCACAGCCAAATGCTACATTGTGTCCATTCTGTTGTCATCAAGTATTCATATTTCATCTTTGGCCAAATGTGTTTGCGTTGAACACCTGCCGTTATATTACAAAGTATGTACCAGCATTAGTTTTGCTCGTGGGGCAGAAAATGGGTCAGTCTTGAGGAAGCTGCGCTGATAAATGCCAAATGGTTACACTAGCAATGTGTTTATAATATTTAGTAGTTTACAGATCAAGGGTCTCCAACCATTCTCAACCTTTTGTAGTCATAATAAACATCTACAAAAAATACTACGACAAAACATGGAGACCACAGATGTCCAATAAAACTCTACATTTATACTTATAATGGATGTGTAATGACTCCAAATATAATCAATCAGGATGTTTAGTGAGTTAAGTTTATGTCAAACACACAACAAAAAACTGGGGTTGTAAGAAAACTGATTGTAAAACAAAGGAAAAGTGTAATGCTTAGTGACACCTTCTCTTTCAGCATCTAAATATTATTAATTACTTCCATTGGTTTTAAGCCTGGTTCATACGGCAGGATAATTAGGCCGATTTTGGACCCGATTTACACCTACGACAGTCGTAAGAACGCTCTGAATATTGTAACAACAAATCTGATGGATTTTCCGTGTGTGGTGTGTTAAGACTGTGCTCGTCGCTCTGAAGGACTTCAGGACTGCTCCGATCTCAATATCGGGGATATCCAACATGTTGGATTGTTTTGGCCCGATTTCTCTTTGTGTGTGGTGGCCCCCGGGGACAGAAGAGCGTGTTGCCATGACTGCGGCGTGCAGCCAATCAGAAGACGAGACGAGGCGGCGAGGAAACGCCGTAAAAAAACAACTCACCTCCAGATCACGATGTAGAAGTACAGTCCATGCTCGTGTCGTCTACACTTCTTTGACCAGCGCCTTTTCTTTTGATTACGTCTTTTCTCAGATAAAAACAAACTATCGCCGCTGCATCCTCTTCGTCCGTCATGATTGTTTACTCTGAAGTCACGCTTGATCTCGCGAGATTTTGTGAGATTTCCGTCTGATCTGGGAATGCTCGGGGGGAAATCGGTTCGTGTGTGATGTATGTGGTTTGCGTGATTTTGCCGTGTGGCTGCGCACCACACACTGTACGACCAAAGTGGTTAGACCCATGATTTTTTATCTCCGTGTGTGCGGTCTCTCACAGAGAAAAAAAACGGCCGACAATATTAAAATCGTCTCGTGTGAACCAGGCTTTACATTTTCTTGCAAAACACAAGCAGTTATGTTTTCCTACCTATTTACAATATGTTAGCATCATAAACAAACAAGAGTCATCTTTATAGATGTTATGTGACTGCTGTCGTTGTGTCCTTGGGCAAGACACTTAACCCCACTTTGCCTGAAGCCCCCGCTGAAAAATCAAGGGTACCCCCGACCCAGAAATGGATCAAGGGGAAGAAAATGAATGGATGGATGTTAGCATCATAAACAGACGAAAAAGTCATTTTCCTTCATTTATATTGTTCAAAAATATTGTTTTTGAATCTTTTCCTGAATTGTTTTATATCCAGACATTTCTAGAGCTTCATTACCGTGAACCATGATAATATGAAATGTTGCACATACCATTGTTTCTCAGTAAAAAAATCCTTAGGGAGCTAGTTGGCAGGAGCTGATGAGCTACGGGTTGGATGTGTTCATCCGTAAACCTGTTCCAGACAACCCTGTTATAGATAAAAATTTCCGATGTTTGCAAGTAGCAAATGTGAAAATGACATTTACAACAATCGCCTGATGATGAAACAGTCTAAATGACTTCTTTATTTGGCCGCTGTGTCGACACAGAACAGTTTGGCAAAAAGACGAGGTTTAACGGTGGGTTGAAATTCGAGTCAAAGCGATCCAAGGATTTTGTTTGAAAACTCTGGGTTTTTGGTCAAATGTGAAAACCCCTAAAGAAAAAACTAACAAGCAGTACTTCACGGCCAGCCCGACATGGGAGAATTCCATCGATAAACATCCGTGTGTGTGAAGGCCTCGGATGAAGGCTGAGAGATTGAGTTCTGCCTCAGACTGAAAACGGCTCAGCAGAAGTGTTTGGAGGAAGGTGACGGCCAACACTTGTTCTGAGCCACATGTGGAAGAGCCGCCTGCAGCCAGACCCCGGGACCAGCCAGACTGGATTACAGGGGACAGGGGCATTATGGGGGATTTAGACAATACCGTAGGACTGGCAAGATTATTCACCATGCCGCATAGATGGATAGATATAGGTAGAGATAGGTAGATAGGTAGGTAGCTATAGATAGGTAGGTAGGTAGCTAGAGATAGGTTGGTAGCTATAGATAGGGTGGTAGCTATAGATAGGGTGGTAGCTATAGATAGGTAGGTAGGTAGCTATAGATAGGTTGGTAGCTATAGATAGGGTGGTCGCTATATATAGGTAGGTAGGTAGCTATAGATAGGTTGGTAGCTATAGATAGGGTGGTAGCTATAGATAGGTAGGTA